GGTGGCATTGGTTCAGTCCGGATTAGAATGCATGACGGAGTGATTAGGGAGTTGAAGAAAGTGAGGTTCGTGCCACAGTTGACGAAGAACATCATTTCTCTTGGGACTTTAGAGGCAGCTGGATATAGAGTGATCTTAGAGGATGCTACAGTGACGATCACAAAGGGTTCTATGATGGTGATGTAAGATATCAGGAAAAATAACTTATACTACTTGAAGGGTAAGATAGTTACAGGGGGTCTGACAGCTTCTATCATTACAAAGGAGGACACTGCCACTTTATGGTACATGAGACTTGGACACACAGGTAATAAGTCCATATAGTCATTGGCGAAACAGGGGCTATTGAAAGGTGCTAAGACCTACAAGATAGAGCTGTGTGAGCACTGCGTACTCGGGAAGAAAACTAGAGTGAAGTTTGGCACCGCTGTTCATAATACTCGAGGTACATTGGATTACATTCACATAGATATTTGGGGTCCTTCCAAGAACACATTTCTTGATGGGGTCAACTATTTTATCACTTTTATTGATGACTATTCCAGGAGGAATTGAGTATACCCTATGAAGCATAAACATTAGGTCCTGAATATTTTTATGGAGTGGAAAAAGAAAGTGAAGCTGTAGACAGGTAGAAAGGTGAAGACTCTACGTTCAGATAACGGTAGAGAGTACAAGAGTGATCCATTTCTATAGTTTTGCTGGGATCACGGCATTAGAAGATACTTCACAGTTTGAGAGACACCGTAACAGAACAGGGTGGCTGAGAGATACCTTATTAGAAAAGGTGCGATGTATGATAATACAGAGCGGATTGCCTAGATCCTTTTGGGCTGAGGCGTTGGTTTATGCGAGCTATCTCGTGAATAGGTTGTCGTGAACTGTGATAGACGGGAAGACTCATTTGGAGCGTTGGTTTGGTTCGGTGGCTAGTGACAATGAGTCGCTTCGAATATTTAGGTGTCCAGCTTATTACCATGCCAGTGATGATAAATTAAATCAGAGGGAAAAAAGCAGTCTTTGTGTGATTTAGAGATGTAGTTAAAGGTTTCAGGTTATGGGATCATCAGGACAAGAAGATAGCTATTAGCAGAGATATCACATTCGATGAGACGTACATGATGAGGCCTCAAGTCCCTCAGCAGGTGGAGGGAGACCAGACAGTTGAGATATCACAGCAGGTGGAGGATGATGTGACTCCACCCACTCCTAAGAGCATTATATCCATCGAGGCTCCTACAGAGGTGACACTAGGAGGAGATAGGATGACAGCCCGGTAGTTTGAGGATATAGTGGTATGTGAGACTCAGGAACAGTATCATATTCAGGGGTCTATTACAGCAGATAGACCGAGAAGGGTGATTCGTTGGCCAGCTAGGTATAATGATGTCATGGTCGCATATGCATTATCAGTGGAGGTCATTGATGATATGGTTCCATACACATTCACAGAGGTAGAGTCTAGCCCCGATTTGATTAGGTGGAGGGAAGTTATGGAGGAGGAGATGCAGTCTCTTCAGAAGAACGACACTTAGACACTTGCACATCTACCTAAGGGTAAGAGAGCTATAGGTTACAAGTGGGTATATGCGAAGAAGGAGGGATATTCTATTGGGGATATTCGATTCAAAGCCAGATTGGTTGTCAAGGGGTATGCACAACTTGAGGGCATTTATTACAACGAGGTATTTTCACCCGTTGTGAAGCATTCATCGCTACGTATATTATTGGCATTAGTGGCACAGTTGGATTTGGATTTGGTCCAGATGGATGTGGAGATAGCCTTTCTATACGGAGATTTAAATAAGGAGATTTACATGACACAACCTTTAGGATTCAAAGCTACAGGAAAGGAAGATTTAGTTTGCAAGCTGAAGAAGTCTCTTTATGGTTTGAAGCAATTGTCGAGACAGTGGTATAAGAGATTTGACAGCATTATGATTGGCCATGGGTACACGAGAAGCCCATATGACCCATGTGTTTATATGCACAAGCTATATGATGGTGAGCATATATATTTACTTTTATATGTTGACGATATGCTTATTGCTTTTAGTAATTCTTCGGCTATTCGAAAGTTGAAGGAGGAGCTGTCATCTGAATTCAAGATGAAGGATCTTGGAGAGGCAAAGAAGATATTGAGTATGGAGATCGAGAGAGATAGAGTGAAGGGGAGTTTGAAGCTTACATAGAAGAGCTATTTATAGAATATATTGAAGAAATCCAGCTTTGATGACAATGCAAAAGCAGTTAGCACTCCATTGACTCCCACTTCAAGTTTTCAGCGTTGATGTTACCTGTTTTAGTTAAGGACAGAGATTACATATCGAAGGTCTCATATGCCAGTGCAGTAGGTAGCTTGATATATGCGATGGTGTATACAATACCAGATTTGTCACAGGCCGTGAGCATGGTATCGAGATACATGCATGACCCCAAGAAGGGTCATTGGGAGGTCGTGAAGTGGATTCTACGGTATGTTCGAGGCACCATGGATGTTGGTTTGGTATTCCTGAAGGATGATTAGAATGGGCAGAATTATATTGGTTGCGTGCATTCAGATTATGTTGGAGATCTTGACAAGCGCCGGTCCACTTCAGGTTATGCTTTTATATTGGCAGGTGCACCTGTATGTTGGTGATGTATACTTCAGTCCACAGTGGCTCTCTCTACTACAGAGACGGAGTATATGGCAGTGACTGAAGCTGTGAAGGAGGCTTTGTGGTTGCGTGGATTATTGGAGGACTTGGGGATTGCACAGGAGACCATTTGGTATATTGTGATAGCATGTCAGCTATTTATTTGGTGAAGAACCAGGTTTATCATACGTGCACGAAGCACATCGATGTCAGATTCTACTTTGTTCGTGACGTTTTGGATGATGGAGATGTCATATTAGAGAAGGTCCACACGAACGACAACCCTGCAGATATGTTGACCAAAGTTGTTTCAGGAGTAAAATTTGGTCATTGTTTGAAGCTTTTGAACATTCTTCAGTGTTGAGGTTGGAGGCCATTTGGGTGAACTATGTTCGGCTTGATTCCTTAGGTAAGAGGATATGTAGGCAGTCTTTCAGATACAGCCGGTTTGATTTGTTGATTCAGATGGGGGGAGATCGCGTTTCAGCTCTAGTTTGGCTCCCAGACTTTTTGCAGAACTTTTGAATGATTTGGTGTCGGCTCAGTTTTGGTAGAAACATTCGCCGAGGTGAAGAATTGACAACTTGGCAAACAGCTGAAGAAACAACCTAGAAATTTAGCCAGGCAGACTGGCGGTCGACCGCGAGTCAGCGACGGTCGACCGCAAATGTGCACAAGGGTCAGGAAGAGCTGGGAGCTGAAGGTGGTCGACCGTCACGGTCAACCGCGTGGACCCTGTAGGATTTTTGGGCTCTGTCGTTTGGTTCGGTCGACCGTCGTTGTCGACCGTGAGTTTCTCTGTAGCCGATTTGTTCTCTATCGGTGTGTTCAGTCGACCGCCGTGGTCGACCGCAGGCTGTTTGGGCTGGGCTTTGGGTTTTTAACTCAGTTCGTTTTGGAGCTGATATATAACTCTAATCCTAAATAGTTAGGGTTAAGCAAGGACGTTTTTGAGCAGTCTTTTGGAAAGGATTGCTGCATCCAATTGTGGGAGATTTACGAGAGAGCTAGAGCTTTGTTTTAGGGTTTGATCTGTGAGATTTGTAACTCTATTTGTATTCTATTGATTTCTAATAGTAAGAACTCTACCCCTCCTTGCCCCGTGGACATAGGCAACTTGTCGAACCACGTAAATCATTTGTTCTTGTTGTGATTGTGTTTTACTTATTGGTTATGGTTTATCTCGAGTTATTGTTTGTGTCGCTGGGAGAACTTCCGCCGCACACAACAGATTCTTCCGTTCCTCATTGAGAATTTATGTGGCAAATACTTTGATACATTCATTTTGTTTCCAATGATGTTAAGTAAGTCCACGATTGATGGTCTATGATAAATTAATGAATTAGTCTCCCTATTTGTCCCTCTACTTCTCAGTTGTCCTATCAATTACAATCATATTAAGTAGGCAAAAACTGTCTTTATTATTACAAGATAAAATTAAAGAAAAGCTATTTATGCTTTTACTTAGAAAATAGGAAGGGACAGAGGCGTGGCTGATAATTTGGGGGCCCAGTTCTAAATTTCAATCGGGGCCTCTTAACCAATCTTTAGAAGAAACTAATAATTGTTTTTATACGTAGTACTAACCATGAAAAAAAAATTATATCTAGAATTAAAATAAAAATTAAGACATAACAATGGTTTTATGCAAAACCTATTACGTGCAAAATATTGATAGTAAAAATGATTCAATCGACCCGACATCGACCCGACTGACATTGATCAATATCATTTATTTAAGTCCTATTGACATGCATCTTTTTGTAATTTCACTTTGCACTTACCTATTTTTGTTTGTCCTGTAGTTGGAACTAACAATTATCATATGAATGACTTAAAAAATTACTAATGTTATTTTCTTTTTAATAATTTGTTATCTTATAATTTGAGTTTGAACCAAACAAGATATTACAAATTTTAGGATTGGCTTTCCTTTAATAATGTTGAACCAAACAAAATATTAGAAATCTTAAAGCATGTATAAAACCATATGGATTTGAAATTCTCCATGATATTACAAATTCTAAAATTTTGGCATTTGAACCAAACAGCCTTAAAGGAACCCATCACCAATTACCAGAGAGCAAGAATCTTTCAATTTAAACATTTTTCGGTAACTGCAACGGAGAGTGCTTGATGCTCTAATTTGCTTTTATTTTTATTGTTCTTTATCATAACAATGACACATAAATTACTTGATGAAAAAAAAAATTTATGGGCAAAAATAACCTCCCGAGCATCAAACCCCAAAGCCACATGAAACATAAGATTGTAAACTCATTATAAATGCAACCAAATAATTTCCTACAAACTCAAATCCCAACATCTAAAGCAAAGAGAATTAAGCACTGCGTCTCTCACCTTGCTGATTTTAGGCACCACAGATCTCAGCATATACAACCTATCATTCAGCTTCTTCCTCCTCCTCCTCTCAGACATCAGATTCTTCGCCGGAGCCGCTCTGTTCCTCTTCCTCCTGCTCTCATGACTCTCATTATTCTCCAAACTCTTCACATTCTCCTCAAACTCACAATTCAACCCAGACCCATCAAAGCTCCCATCCTCAACCCCCTCTTCCTCATTCTCCTCTCCAATCAGCGTGGGTTGAGCACCAATCGAAGGATTAGCCTCAGCAGGCCTCAAAATCTTGGACCCACTAACAAATTTAGGGGTTTCAAACGCTTGAAAACCAGTTTCATGCAAATGGGTTGTCTGAAATTGAGCTGTTGGGTTTAGATCAGTGAAGCTGAGGGGAGCGGTGAGCCCAAATGGGTCCAAGCCAAAAGGGTTTGTAGAGAGGAGAGAGGAGAAGGATTCTTGATGGTTTTGGAGAGGTTCAGTTAAGTACCAGTTCTGTGGAACCGAAAGACAATACCCCTTATCGAGCTTGGTGGCGATTGGGGCCCCCCCAAAGTGGGGGGCCCTGTTCTGCGGAACCGAAAGGACCGTCTCAGCGGCGCCCCTGGGAAGGGAGGTACTTGTACCGAGTTCATCCGCTTAATGTTCCTTCGCTTTGTGACCACTGTGAAGAGATTGAGTACTGCCACATTGGAAACTAGTTGAGAGGAAAGTGAAGAAAGAGAAGGATAGGTGATTGACATTCTACCAAACTTCTATTATAATTTTTTTATTCTTGGATTAGTTATTGAAAAAAATTATATCCAACTCACAATGAATTTTGGACTGTCGATTTTGAAAGATCCTGATCTTTTTTGGTTACGGTTGGCACTAGAGAAACTATCTTGCTAATCATAAATTCCCTTTTTTTTTATAGTTCCATGAATTATCTTGATCAACAATGAGAATTTCATGGATAGTACTACCCTTAACTATATTACAAATAAAATACATATACACACACTTCCAAATACTTGGGGATAATTATAAATATCCAAATTAGTGCAACTTTAACTTCATTATCTATATTCTACCTTGATGTACATCATACTTTTGAAAAAAAAATTTCCTGAGGGGACATACTTCTGAGAGTTGGGGATGAGGGGGAAGGGACGTAATGTCTTGTGGTGTCACATGACACAACTGGATTATCTACTTTGTAGATATTCTAACATATTTTTATGTGTATTTACTACTTAGGGCATCTCTAAAATTTGAATGTACAGGAAATCACTAGGGAAGATGGTGCTAAAAATTGTCTAATTCAATAAACTCATAAGTTATATGTGGGCACTACCCGAACAAAGTCCTAACTCCACAATTATAACATCACACATTTTTGAATTGTTGAGATAGTTCCAAATCTTCCAATACTTTTAAATAGATTAGTCGTTTATGCTCATATGCTACCTCGTTGTACGTCAAAGTTTTCAACACAAACATCCGTAGCATATATCAACATCCGTCAGCTGCCTATTTATTACCAACCTATTTGATACCATCCCCTAAATCTCAGGCTTAGGCCATTGCCTATTTGATATACCAACCCCTAAATCTTAGGCGTAGGCCTTGTTAATATTCTTCTGTCATTTTATATCACATTCATTTCAGATAGAAAGCAACATAAATATGTATGAATCTTCAAGGTGATGATGGCTAGGTTGGGATGCATGCAAATGAAAATGAAGCAAGAACGTCGTGGAGCTCCGCACGACAAGGAGATCTCTTCAATCACACTCACACCCTCTAATTCAACGCCAAAGTTAATAAAAGGTTGTCCACTGTGAAAGGACCACGAGGCATGGCCTTGTTAATTTGATCTGACGGTCACATGCCTAACCTAGGACCACGAGGCATGCCCGTACGTGGATTTTATGATGCTTTCTCCATTGTGAAAGGAACGGGATCAATTGTGAAGGAGGTAGGGCTGTCTATTTGGGCCCCAGCTCTAGGCTCGACCTGATGTTCAGATCGGACTAGACTGGGCCTAAGCCTGGCCGGGATCAGGAAATTCAGGCTAATCCGGGCTCCGGGCCTAGGCCGCTTCACTATGCCACACCGGACCGACCAAGCCCAGCTAGCAAAAGGGTCGGGCGGGGTGCCCACTGTCGGGCCTGGCCCAAATCCGGGCCCGGATTCGACAGGGGAAACGGGCCGGGTCGGCACGGCCCGACCTGGGGGGGTGTCAAACGGTCACGAATGTGACCGTTTGGCCGGGCATCCCGGACCTGGCCTAGCCACAACATGCATGAATCCGGGCCGGACCCGGTCCGGTCCGAACGGCTATAACAGGCATATTTTAGCTTTTGACCAAAACACCCCCAAAAACAGTCAAGAAACGACCAAAAATTATATATATAAGGAGTTTTCATTTGATTTTCTCATCCAAAACTCATCCACTTCTCTCTAATACTCTCTAATACTATATTATTCTCGCTTTTGCTCTCTAATTCTTCAATCAAATGACTTCGTCCTCTGATTATGAAGGGTAAATCCCAACTTCCGATGTTGAAATGAGTCCTAATACTCCTACTACATGAGCTGCAGTTACTCCTTCTATCGATGTTGATCACGAATTTGGTGGGGATGATTCTGCACCTAGAGCTCCTAAAAGGTCGAGATCCAATGTGTGGAACTTCTTCGAGAAGATAGATGTCATCAGAGATATCAACACGGTAAGCTTCTCACCCAGAAGGCTAAGTGTGCGTTGTGCGATCATATTTTTCAAGCTCATTATAAAAGCTACACCAACTACCTCAAACGTTATTTAGAAAAGTACAACAGAGGTCAGACAACGTCTCAATGTGATATCCAACAATCTTTACTCTCATAATCCTCATCCTATGGTGGTCTTGGTAGTTGGAACTATGACGCAATTAAAGCAAAAAATGCGTCATTAAATTTATTATTCTTAAAAATCTTTTTTTTAATTAGTAGAAGATGATGAATTTGAAGATATGATTACAGATGGTTGTTATCCCGTATTTAAAAATTTTCTCGCCAATCTTGTCAACTGATATTTTGAAAGATTATCACGAGGAACAAGTAAAAATAATTTCTTATTTTTAAAATCTAAACTATAAATTTTCTTTAACTTCTGATATTTGGACATCTAGAACACAAACTGATTATTTATGTATCACAACACACTAGATTGATGATAATTGGCAAATATTAAAAGAGTTATTTTTTATTGCATTTAAAAATTCACATAGTGGTATTAATATTGTAAATTTAATAATAGGAGAACTTACAAAATTAGAAATTTTAGAAAAAAATATTTTCTATTTCACTAGATAATGCAAGTAATAATAATGTACCTATTGATCATATCAAATCATCTTTGCTATTCTCATGTCATGCTGATATTTTTCATATTAGATGTATGTATCATGCTTTAAATTTAATTGTTCAAAGTGAATGTGGTGAAATAAAATTCATGATAGAAAAGTCATAATTCTTCTGAACAAAGACTTATAAAAGATGGAAATAATTGTATAAAAAAAATTTAAACCACATTAATTCTAAAAGATGTTGAGCATAGGTAGAATTCTATCTATGCAATATTAAATATTTTAATAGAGTATAAAGAAATTATAAATAATTTTATTGCTTTCTATACTTCTAGTTCTAGCTCTGGTAATATGTATGGAATAATTGAGGATGAATGGTTAGCTATATATAGTATAAAAGAAATATTATAATTTTTTATGATGCTACTATGTTATTATTTGGTTGTTATTATCCAACTATTATTCAAGCCGCTTTACAAGTTTTAAATATTCAAACTTTTTTTTAATAATTATCGTATGGATAATTATTTTGGAAATATGATTTTAAATAGAAAGTAAATTTAATAGGTATTTAGGCATATTCCTATTATTTTTGGTTTTGGAGTTCTTATTGCTCTATGTTTACAGGATGTTGGCCTTCAAAATTTGTTAAATTATTTGTATGATAACATGATTATAGACACTGATGATGGTCAAACTATTACTACTCTTACTCATCATAATACTATTAGAACTTATTTTCAAAGATTATATGATGAGTATGCAGCTAAATATGGTGTAAGTACACATCAGCCTACAGCTTTTGCTTCTACAAGTTCAAGTCAGGGCAAATGTAAGAGTTTTGATAGGAAATTATTGATAGCTCAGCTAACTAGTAGATTTGGATCTGAATCATCAATGCAAGTTTTGAAATTGAGCAATATTTAACTGCATCTTTAGTTAAAAGTTAAAATAAAAGTTTTGATATTTTACAATGGTGGAGAGTATAGAGATGGAACTATTTTATATCCTATATTTTCTATCATGGCTCGTGACTTACTAACAATGCATATTTTCACAGTATCTTCAGAATCTTCCTTCAGCATATCAGGACGTTTGATCAATAATAACAGGACATCGTTAGATCCGTCTACCGTACATGGGTAATGTGCCTACAAGATTGGTGGAGGTACGAGAAGAGAACTCAATACATCGATTGGATGGCTAGTATTAAAGATAAACTTGAAGAGTTGGCAATAGGAGATAGAGATAAAGAGTAGAAATTATTCATTAGTTTGTAATTTTTATTTCTTAGCTAAAAATTTATGATAAATTATTTTGAAAAGAGTTACAAATGATAGTGATATAGATGAGTAGGTGCCAACCTAGTTGGGATGTATTTATCTATTGTGATGCAACGAATTCTAAAATAAATTTATAATTATTAGTGATTAACTGATTGTTAATAAAAAATTTATTTTTATCATTTTAATTTCTATGATTTTTTGTATTTGTAAATTATATAATTGCAAGTGATTAATAATATGATTGTTTTTTATCAAAATTTTGCTTAATTTTGCAAGTGTTAATTTGACCTGAGTCCCAAATGTGCACTCGGATCAAATCTCACAACGTGGATGTGATAATATGCTGGGCGATCAAATATTCGAAGTAATCCAAAATCTGAAGCAGCTTCACCAGATTTAAATACTCCAAACGCAGCAGTCGGTAACCTATGAATAAGATGACTCTAATATGTTGAAGCCTCAACACCAGAACTCCTCTGCAAACCAATTCTCGACATCAAACACCGATCCTCCTCCAGTAAGGAACGACTCATCAAATCTGCTACCTCATCTTGTCGCCCTAATGTTTTCTCTCCAATGAAGTATCTCAAACTGCCGTGAGCTCGGCATAAATGTAGAAAAGAACCCCTACCAAAATCAGAACGACGTATTACCTTTCTGCCAATACGCTTTTTCCACCTGTTGTTGACTACTAGGATTTCACTCCAACGGGACTTGGTTGCAACGCATAAATACCAAGAACAATCACCAACATAGGAAACCAAATACCTATTATCTCCCAATGATGCCTCCTTAGAAGACCCCCAAATGCCTGAATGAATACCACCTAGAAGACCCTTTGCTCGGTGAATAGAAGTGTCAAACTCCATCTCGGTCTTCTTGCTCATACCAATGTGCTCACAGGACATCAATCTGCAGGTCAAAGCACTCCTCAACAATCCATGCACGACATCAACAATTAAATATCCCAGCATCATCAAACGCCATAGTTTAGCCAAATCCAAAAAAGTCGTTAGCTCTCCACCAATCACCATGCTCCTAATCAAATAGTATAAATTCTTCTTTCTGACGCCATTCATCACAATCATGTACCCAAATATGATCTTCAAAGATGCATCCTCTAAG